TTCGTTCCACCTTTTATGGTTTCGATGACGGCAAAATGCATGACCATCGCCGTACTTGAAATCAGTTGCCCATAATAATTACCGTCGTTACTGCCATTTTATGTGCCGAGGGAGCTGCATCCTGAAAAGTATTCAGAATCACGTCTATGGTAAACGCCCAGGACCACAGAAAAGACACTGTACTCGAGTACCAATGGTTTGACGATGAAGTTGTACGCTGGTTTGTTATTTGGCCAAACTGTACGCCTGAATGTTTGGGAAGGGAGGCGGTTCAGCGTTAAATTCGACTACTGCAGGTTATTTGCCGTGCACCTAACTTGAAGTACACGTGTGTCTCGTGTACATTAAAAAAATCAGGTAGTAGAAATTCTTCCAGAGCACTCTGAATTCGTGTGTCTCGGTCATATTGATGACGATCCGTATTGATGAAAATCAATGAATATGTATAATGACGTGATTAACTCTTTTTTTTCACGTGCTTGCTCATCGCTATCGTTAAGCTTTGAAAGTTCTGTGTGCACTTCCTATTATTTTCTGCAATTTTTTGTAAATCTAAAATGACACTTTTTTACAGTGTTAATCCGTATGCTTCATTCATGTTTTTTTTTGTTTGTTGCTCGTGTAAAAAAAATAAGGCCATACACCACGTCCAGCCTCGCCGGTTTTTTTTTCGTAGTCCTAAACATTGGTTATGTATGATAAAATTAATTTTAGTTTATAGATAGATTGATTGGTATTGTCACCAAAACAGCCCACAAATTCCAAGAAATTAGTAGAGCCGTGGAAGGGCCATCTTGATAGGTATCAAAAATAAATAAATAAAATAAATAAATAAAAAGAAGCATATGGCAGGGTAATAAGCTTTTATTGAGCTGTTCCGCACGCAAATGATCTGTTTACACGGACCGGTGACAGCTCATGGACGGAACTTCGTAAACAAGCCGAATGACTTGAATAGCTCAAAGGTTGCGGCATTGTCTTTGTTGTTGTTGTCATTGTTGTTGTTGTCATTGTTGTTGTTGTTGTTGTTGTTGTTGTTGTTGTTGTTGTTGTTGTTGTTGTTGTTGTTGTTGTTGTTGTTGTTGTTGTTGTTGTTGTTGTTGTTGTTGTTGTTGTTGTTGTTGTTGTTGTTGTTGTTGTTGTTGTTGTTGTTGTTGTTGTTGGGGCCCAGCCTCTAAACAACTGTCCCGGCGTCGAATGACGTGGTCATTGGCGTTGGCGGCATGACTGATGCATTGAACGAGAACGATAGAGAGTGAATGCGTAGTATGGCGATGGCACGATCCACGAGCCTCTCACTTTGTTTCTCCGTCCTGAGTGCTGGCCCTTCTGTTAGAGTTTGTGCGCTTGTAGGGCTGGCTCGTGCGCTGCGGCTGACTTCGCTTATCATAATAAGGCGGTCGGCAATTCGCTTGGTTCTATAAACACCTGCAATGTACAAAGTGGAGGGCGTACTACTCGAGCGCTGTTAGCGTTTCGTTCGGTTCCTGCAGCCTGCATTGAGTAGTGTGGTGTGAGTAGGGCTCAAGAATTGGAAGTTTCTGGGTCAATACGTAACGAGTGTCACATTGCTACAACTGCTGATAGCCAAAACTTCAAAAACGGTTCTCATTACCCCAACACGAAGGGGGTTCTCACAATTTGCTTTAGACAGTGTTGTAATAATCAGTGATTTTTTTTCTAACCGTACTTTAAAAATTTCACCCAAACCCAACTCTCGCCCAAACTCAACTCACCCAAACTTCAACTCTTTGCAATGTGCGGAAAGTATCTAAAATGCCTAAAGAAGTAAACGAGTCAAGATAGTCCCGCGAGTTTGACTATGAAGAAAGCAAACGCAACCGGTATTGGTGAAATGCTTCAATAGTATAATTTGGGCTCAGGAAATGAAAAGTAAAAGTGCGAGAAATACATGCAGTAGTACACTGATGGCAGAGCTGAAAGTAGTCGGCCGTCGCTTAACAGCTTTTACGGGATAAACCTGATCACATCAAAATGAATGAAGAAGCGTACGTTGAAATATCAAGTTTAGTACGAACACGCGAACATTTACGCGGTGTAGCATTAATTCAAATAAATGCTAGCCAGTATGAATTAGCCCCTTTGCTTCGGAAGAATAAATCCTCTTAAAAAATCGCACTGCTCAGCTCGATACGTTCTGACGATTTCGCTTCCGCTTCCCAGTCTGACGATAACTGTTTTGGGATCCTTGGCATTGAAGGAGGGCCATGGCTCTAGACTGGGACCTATACGTGGTAGTTTTCTGTGAAGGAAAAGAGTGATATTAGAAAAAAAAAGACAAATATTCGTACAATCTTAGGATTAAGTCATATTTAAAAGTATGGTTGAGTGAAGGTTGTGCATTTTTTTATTTAAGCAGAGGTGATAACACATGATTGAAAGTGCAAGGTATTTGAAAAAAAATGCACAGTTCAAAAACAATATGAAATATTTCCACAGCAGTAACTTGAGCGGAAAGAAAACGTGAGAACAGCTATCCTGCATCCGTAATCACACTACAACCCGCCAAAATTGCTGTATTTAATCATTTGTGTGGGCACATTTTAAGCGAATATGTTATCCGCCTTATTACTGTTCGCATGTTTCAACAACTATTCTTTTATTTTCTTCTCGTGATATAACTTTACTGAATGTTTCTCCCCCCCCCCCCAACTACGTATGCCTTGAAAAGGGACCTTATGGTTGAAATGAATAATGATGATAATAAACCAGCATTGTTCACCCCAACTTTTTCAGATCTTGAAGCCTGATATTTTTTCTTAGCTTGCAGTTCCTAAATAGATAAAAAAAGGATAAAGTAACTAGAGTCCTACCCCGCGTTATTTAGCATTTGTTATTTCATAATTTCATACTTCCCTTCAGGGCTACAAATACATGACACACGTATTGCATGAAATAAAATCAGTTAATAATACAGTACAAACCAATATTTTTACCGACATTGAATGAAAGGTGGGCTTTTTAAAAGAATTGCTGTAAGAATATCCCCACCTCTCATTACATTTTGTCGTGAGGGCATTTGGATTTGTCGGCAGCAAATGCATGCCTCTTTTGTCGCAGACATTTGCGTCGCTACGCATTTTACCTTGCGCAGTACTGCTAGGTCTTGCTTCAAATAACAGTGTTTCCTCTTCTTTTACCCGTAAAACTTTATATCCTAGATTTGTATTGCCGTTTCCACAATTACTCGAGATATATTTTTGCATTCTTCGATGCTGTTTGCCGTCTCTTTTTAGCTCTCTATTTAAGGTGAAATTCTCATACGTCTCACAGGTCATGAAATTCACTGTGGCTCTGTAGTGAAAACGATGCTTTTATGCCAACCTGAAGGTTGTGGGTTCAATCCCAGCAGGGTTAATCACATTTTTATGGAATCACAATGCTGGAAGTCTGTGTATACGCTACGGTGTCAGTGCGTGTCAGAGAAGGCCAGTTGGTCGGAATCTTTGGAGCCCTTCAATGCGGCATCCCTGACTCGTATATATGGTGAATTCAAGACGTTAAGCAGCATGTATTATTCATAAGTTGTGTTTAGGTCATTCTACAGACTATATTCAATGGTTTCTGTTTTCAAATATCCTGTTTGCTTTTAACCCAATCTCATCCCTATTCAGCGCTGTCATGATGTACGCATGGAAGAAACGTATCGTCAAAAAATATATCACTCGAGCTTTTTGGTCGTCAAAAGAACGGAATGCTCGAACCAAGATCCTGACCCCACAAAAACCGATTTCAAACCAGTGGCACGGACTCAGTGTTTCGCCCAAAGCGTAATAAAAATTTGAGTATTGTCAAGAGTAAAAACAAAAAAACACTGTGCACGTGGGTTATGTGGAGCACTCTCGACGTTGGCGTCTTTAAGTTCCTTTTAAGGACAAGTAGGTTATTTTGTCGTCGTTAATAAAAACATCATGTTGGAACATAGGCGTTCCATAAAAACCGAGTATATTGCAAGATTATTTTCTCAAACATCCAAGCCATTAAGCCGCCGGAGAAAAAACACCAAAGGCAACTAGGCGAAGATTTCAGAGCAGATGCCTTATAGAAAAAATAGGCAAGGCAATAAAAGCAGCGTAATGTCCACTGGAAAATATGAAAGTGGTTAAGTCTAATATAATCTGTGAAAGCAGCTACGACATTCGATGTGTTTCGAAAAAAATTTTCTCAAAAGTTTTAAGCAACAAAAATCAGTAATTTTGAATGAGAGGCATTAGCTGGAAATTGAAGACACAAACCCGGTTTTTGCGAATGCAGCCCAGTAGCTTATGAATGTGATAGCACGCTCCTTGTCTGTCTGATGCTCTCCTTCTTTGAACCGAAGGGCAGTCCCGAACATGAAATGCAAATCGTCGTAACGCTGTGCGCGTTCGCCCCCTCTGAAGACGGGGCCTGTTTCCAGGACAAAAGTATACACCTGAACGGGGTGAATAGTAAAAGATCATAAGTCACGTGCTGCAATGAGATTACTGTCTATACAACAGTATTGGTAACAGACTTGTAACAGGTGTCTAATAGGCTTGATGTCATTCACAAAGATCAATCTTCCGACTCAGGCTATAAACAGAAGTCTGAGGCTTGATTAAAATCAATCCTCAGACTGCTGCTACTACAAGTTTTTTTTTTTAAGTACGAAATTCATGAGTCAAATTAAATTTGTGATCCTGTGATAAAGGCCATGCTGGGACAATCGCTTAGATATAGTGCTTTTTTTTTTAAATAGAAATATATATTTCGTGAACATTTACTGAACACGTTAACACCTAGTTAGAACTCAATCCTCGGGTTGGATGACCCCAATACGATAAGAAAATTTGTAACAGTATTAACTTCTGATTTAATGGTGAGATACTGGGTTTATATGGCGTACACCTAAATCTGAGCAAGCGGGTGACTTTGCACTTTGTCCCCATGAAAACGTGGCTGACGATGGCTGGTATTCAAACGTGCATCCTGTAGCTGAGCAGTGTGACAGCATAATGCTAAGCCATCTGTAGGCAAAAGAAATATTACACGCAACTGACTTTAGATATAACAAAGTGACGTCATTCTGCCTAATACAGATTAAAGAAGAAGAAGCTTTACATCATGGCATAAAATAGATACAGATTAAAGAAGACGAACCTTTACATCACGGCATAAAATAGATGTTTCACCAAAGTAGTGGCATGTTGATGCTATGAAATGAGTGCGACCATCAGAAATTGTTGCTTCACAGCGCTATATACTATAGAAAGCTTCATACGTTATAGGTATACATGGTGGTACACAAAGTGCCATAGTTATTCGCGTAAGCTTGATACTTGCCTTGTTTCCAAGGGCTGATAGAATTTCGGCCAAGTATTGCATAGGGCAGTAGACCAGCACGTCTCCCAATATATTCTTCCACATGTGAGTCTCATCATAAGTTGCGTTGCGGTAACTTCTCCTGTACTCGCTGATTATGTCCTAGATGGAAATACGACGAATACGCTGACACTTCCCCTTAATCGCATCTGATAACAATGCGATATATTAAAAAATGCCCACACGCTCTGAAAATCTGTGCAGAGGTTAATACACACACAAAAAACAAAAAAAGAACACACTGCCATAGTTTCACCTCAAGGAAAACCTGTGAACTGCGTATCATTGGTTTGCCTGTGCGTTTTCCTTGTGTTTTCTTTTGTTGTATGTGGTAACTACTTTTTCTTGGTTCTTTTTTTTTCTGGCATTTACCTGCTCTTTACTTTTCTTTACTTTTTTTCGTGTGAATAAGTGAGATATTTACCGTTTTCGCTTGTTTTTTTTTGAGAATACGTAAGTTCTTTGCGTTTATTTTTTTTCTTCTGTTCGGCCTGGTTCCTACTGTTTTTCTGCTGTTTGCTGCTCCAAGCGCAGTGGGTATCAATGCCAGCACTGGCGTTACGCCGTCATATACATCTCTTTTCCGTATAGCTTTGTTTATTCCTGACGCTGGCATTTCGTGGTCGCTTTGCTTTCTAGAACAAACTAGTTAGCCCTTCGGTTAGGTTGGCGTTCATGCGCAAGCGCACGCTAGCGTTCCATACGCGCAGTCTCTTCAATTTATGCGTATGCATCAAGCATGGGGCTTGCGTGACACCATGAAACAACGACGGAGTGGTTCCTTAAACTGTTCCGCGGTTAAAAGTGCCCTCGAGATATGAACAGATACCTTGACTTGGCAATCCTTGCGAAACCAAACGCATTATCTAACGCTGAAACTCTTTTACTCAATCTATAACAAAAAAAAAACCAGGGATTATTTCTTCAGATTATTTGAAGTCGGCCTATTAACAGTCTTCTCGTTGTGACCACAAATTTAAAATATGACCATACACCCCCGAAACTGATGTGTTGAAATATTTCTTTTTTTTTCACAAGCGATTAGCGAGCAGAATATGTTACCAGCCAAATTGGCTGGCCGCAAGACTGCGCATTTATATATGAAGGACTGCGGCCACCGCAATATTTCCTAAAAACGCTGTGGGTAAAAGCAAAAAAAATAAAGACGTGCTCCACAATTCAACACAGAGAATGCTGAATAAAAAGGCAGTGTTTCAGTGACAAACATCGCTTCTAAGAGGCGACATCAAAAACCACGAGAAACTATGAACTAACTATTGATCGAAGGCACAGTGCGCATCGGGAATATATTCTTCTATTGCTTATTTATGTATTCGTTGACGTAAAATTGACATCACAAACAGTATGATTGAATTTCAGTCTGCCTGCGCTCAAACGATCGCTAAAACTTATAACCCTTTTCACGAAGCCGATGTTCACTCGTTAGTTCTTTGAACAAAATAAAAGGGTGCCTATAAGATTTTACTGGCAGTTTTACTACGTGTAGTCAGGCAGCCCGCCATACGTTTTCTCGTGCGCGCTTTTGATAAGTGAAAAGACCATTTAATGAGTACAATATCTGCAATATATTCACGTGTACCCCTGCGGCTATACTTTCAATACTTACGTTGTCAATATCACTATTACAAGTATCCAACTGTAAGTGTAATACATTGAATTTTACGGTATACAACTGCAACTGTTTTATATAAAATGGAGATCCTCAGGTAAAACTTTGTTTGTGTGGGAAATGCCAAAGTATGGCTAGACAGCGGCCTTTGCATCCTACTTCACAAGTTGCGAGAATTCGTATACGCTTGAACTACTAGTCTGAGCAGCTACTTGACAACTAACTGTGCCGTCGTGCACATTAGAACATAGCTGCTTTACTCACGAAGCCTTTATGACATGTTTCAGAGCGTGCTTTATGACGGGAGCCTTCTTTAATTAAGACATGGAACCAAGTTTTGTACTAAGTATCGGCGCAACTGGGAGTTGAGTTTTGCAACGAGTAGCACACCAATAAACAACGCTTTGGAAATGGAGACGAAGGCAAAGTATACATCCAGCAGCGCTTGCGACATGTCCACGCTTTCATTGCCCCACTTTGCAGTCTGCTGCTTTTATTACCCATAAAGCAATGTGATTCAGCCGAGGCCTCCAGAGCACAGGTTCTCCAGTGGAAGCATACGCAGTTTTTCTGTGCCAGATATGTATACATGGACAGGTAAAGATGTTTCTATTGTATGGGTATTATATACTTTATGTTCAATTATAGAACGCCAATTTTTATAATTTACCCTTCAATATGTGACATAAAAGACTTTAGACGCTTCCGTAAAATATATTTTGCGAGAAGCGGCACTGTGTTCCATTTTTATGCAGTAAATCTACCATATCAACAACGTTTCACAGAGGAACGCTACACTTTGCTCTTCTGCATTGTCTAAACGTCACATTTGGGCTGCTCTTACTTTTGTTTAGCACGAATCTAAATGAGTGAGAGGTTATACGTTTCAACTTATTCCTTTTTAGTTGAGAGGGCGAAATATATCCTGCAAAAGCGAAAATGACTGATCTCCGAAGCTAAAAGACGTAATCGATTATGCATACCGAACAGAACACAAATGATATCGAAATTAAAAAAAAAAACACCGAATTGGTTACATCTGTCATGCGCATGCACAACTGTCTTATACGTTCAATCACAACAGATACATGCAAGTTCTAAAATTCTACAGATTTCGGCACATGCTTTTCATCAAAATATTGTTAGTCAACGAATGCTTTCTTCCCTGTTCAAACGTGCTCCAAGCTATCGCTCACTGAGGGCTCTTTTGGAAATTTTCACTTATTGTAACGAAAACACTTACTGTAATAAATGCTACGTATACGGCTAATGTTTTCAGTATAAAAAAAAAGCGTTTCACTACTTGTTCTTGGAAATTAGTCTGAAAATTTTATTACATTTTATTTAACTACTTGTACTCTTGTATATACGAATAGAATAAATTTATTTTCTGTCTAGACATAAATTTGCGATTTCATACATTGATAGTAACACGAGTATATTCAAAAGTTTCAAGTTGATTTAGTGCATACAATTCGTCATTTCTAACAACATTTATGAAGATTTTTTTTGCTCCAGAACTGTTTTATCGCTTCGAATCAGCAACACTCTCAAATTGTCAAATGATTTCATGCAGTATGCAGTTCGCAAAGGTGTCCAATGCGACAAAGTTTTTTTTTAATAAAGTACGGAGTTTGTGCGATTACACGTGGCGTTAAAGAAAATCCTAACTACTTTATAGGCAGAATGTGAGCATTCTGTGTGAAGCGCCAGTCACACACACACAGAAATCCCATAAAAAGAAGATAGGCAAGAGATCCAATAATAGAGTACTTAAGAAAATATATGACACAGTAGCAAGCTATCACTTACCTCAACCTGACCGCCCAAGGGAAGTTCGGAGAGGAGTGTGATAATTTGTGCGCTAACATTAGAAAAATATCCACCGGGAAGGACGTATTTCAAGTCGGCCAGTCTCTTCAGAATCATCGAGTACTCGAAGGAACCTTCGTCCGCCACGTTGCTCAGGAGAAACTCTTTGTCCCTCAGCCATGGTCTTGCCGCACTCGAATTCTGAATTTTAATAGCAGCCGAAGGCTGAAAGAGGCGTTGCAGCAACGAGTTTAGGCATGAATAATAACAATAAATTATTTATTATAAAAACTTATCAATTTTTAAACGAATGTATTCATATATTGATTGAAGTATTATAATAAACAATAATTAAATAATTATTCACAGCACCTCAGATTCCTAGAGGCATTGTGTAAAGAGGATAACGCAACGAAACGTGAAAACATATACGATAACGACAAAATAAAGGGTTCAATTCTGTACAAAAATTTAAACAAAAAATGTTACAGTCCATATGCGGGCGAACAGAAAAAATTATTCTGTTAGATGGTATGCAGCAGCAGCCAAAAATAATGAACAGGTAGAAAAAATGCACTATTGAACGTGACGGCTCATTATACAGCGAATGAATTTTGACACATGAAAATACAAATCTTCAGAACGAACGTGACGTAACTTCCCTATTGTGGTGAAATAGTTTAAGTGAAATTGCACATAAATACCAATAGCTGCAATGCAAAAAAAATGTAAGTCGTAGCGTATGTAGAATTATTTTAAAAACATGTCGTTCGTTAATGGCTCATGTTTTTTCTTGGTAATTTTCAGAAGCTATGTTACTGGGAAGGTTGTTCGAAAGATGAATGCCACCTTAAAATCCCAATTTACATTGTATAAATGTGTGACAATCCAGAACATCTCATAACAAGGAGGTACAAAAATTTTGATTGTCAAATAATAAACTACATTACATTTAATAGTCAGTTGGTGGGCAGGACGTGTCTTGTGGCGTTTGTACTCGTACTTGTTGAAATTGGTGCTGTTGTAATTAGGATCAGACATGGAACGTGAATGCTGATGTACGCACGAGGTATGTGAAGGTATGTTGTGAAATCTATTCCTGGGAGCCACGTGTTGAGTTGCCGAGCATATAAAGGCATTATATTTCTCCTTTTAAACTTCCCACCAACGCTTGCGGAGGAAAAAAGAGATATCTTCGCTTCAAAGAGCAACGCCCAAGTGATCTGGGCATAAGTGTTAACGGATGAACAATTGAGCCCATTAAAACACTCTTCTCGAAATTTAAAGGTGTACTGACACAAAAATGTTCAGCTGTCTTTTTTTTTTGCGTGATATTAAAGGTCAAGCAATCAAGACGCTAAAAAATGCACTGGTGAATGCACTTTTTGCAAAAGGAACTTACACTATCTCTTTAAAAGCTAGTTGAGGCTCCTACTGTACATTGACGGCCAAACACAGTGTAATATTCCCGTCACATGCTCCCATTGGCTCCGTTCGTAATGAACAAGCGGCCATTTTGAAAGTTTAGTGTCTGAGGTCATAACAACTATCCACACTGGTGCGTGAAGCCACCAAAATTGGCATTTTAGCGTGCGCCATGCTCAATTTGATGTAAATAAGTACGCCATGCGAAATACGACTTTAGTGTCAAAATACAATATCCTATTAGCATGCGCTAAGCCTCCCATTCGTGCAGAACCGTCTCTGTATACATAGAATTTGTACGGCTGGGTAAGTTCATTTTCGAAAATTGTTAGCATCGCTTTGAGATTAGCCCATTTAAAAATATTCTGTCGTGGGCTAGGTGGTGCATGTTATCGATGACTCGAGACGCATCATGTGTGACAGAACAACTGCATTTTCTCGGTCGTGCAAGCTTATATAAAAGCTGGCTTCTTACTTTTCAGCAGACAGATGTAATTGTGTTGATTGATATGTAGGCTTTAACGTCCCAAAGCCACTATATGATTATGAGAGACGCCGTTCTTGAGGGCTCCGGAAATTTCAACCACCTGGGGTTCTTTAACGTGCACCCAAAGCTGAGCACACGGGCCTACAACATTTCCGCCTCCATCGGAAATGCAGCCGCCGCAGCCGGGATTCGATCCCGTGACCTGCGGGTCAGCAGCAGAGTACCTTAGCCACTAGACCACCACGGCGGGGCAAATGTATTTCTAGGTATGCGCCAGCCCATGTCGTTATTGTGTATTTCATTTGTCTTCATTTGTTTGCGCTACACGTATACCTGGTCTACATCGAGATCGGCCCTTTGTCGAGATTCACAGCAGTTGTGCACTCACCGAAGTCCCTTTCGTGTTTGATGGAACAAAGACGGGTGCCAATTTGTAGGCGTGCCTCGAAGCCATTTTCAGGCGGCTGGCGGGTGTTGTCTGCAAGCACTCAACCACAACATCGATGCCTTCATCTGGGTGACAGATGCACAACCGACCCAGCTCAAGGGTGTTCTGCAGGGCATACTTCGTGTTGTCTCGATATGGTCGAAAGAATGAAGACGTGTGTAACACGACGCGCTTCGCTTGCTGCACCCAGTGTAACTTCATGTCAAACAAGTGGCGCGTTATCGAGATTGCCCCGGCATCATGACCTACGGGCACAATCTGGAACGAAAGTATGAATTTTAAGTTCAACGTAACGTCAACATAACGTTCATGTCAGGTATACATAACGTTCATGAAATAGCGTAGCTTCGATCTCCTTTCGATCGCTAACAACAAAACCTGTTACCCCAAACACTATACACGCGTGGCTACTTCATAAAAAGTAAAGGAAGTGAACTTTTTAATAAATTTAAAATTCAAGTGAAATAAATGAAGCAAACTTCCGGCACCATATTTTTCTTTTTTATTAGCACAATTATCTTGCATCCAGCAATATTCTTTTTTTACTTCAAATACTTCGTTTCTTGTGGTTAACATTGCGCTCACCCCTTCCCTGTGTAAAGCTATTGTTAAAATCATTCATTATTTCAAGTCCTGTGCCTTTATGTTTTGAATCTCCAGCCCACACTCCCTATTGTAGTGCAGTGGCTACGACATGAGACTGTTCAACGCCAGGTCACAGATTCAATCCTCGATGGCTTGCTGGGGCAAAATTAGGAAAATTCACGCATATCATTCATCAGGAACAAACTTAGTAATCCCCGCTCTGCTCGAAATAACTTAGAAAGTTCATGCAATGCATGTCTTGTGCCTTTGTGCTGCTGCTTTGGGTTGTTTGAACCCGCTGAATAAATTAAGAGCAACCTGCCATCCGTTTGCATCATTGGCCGCTGTGCTGGAAAGTGCAGCATCTAATTTATTAATTTTTTTTATGTTGCTGCCTTCAGGGAAGTTGCTCGAATGAGAGAAAAAAAAAAGGTGCAGGTGGTGTGGTGAAACAGAAAACGTGAAGACGCAGAAAGAGGAACAGAAAGTACGGGCGTTGTTTTACGACTGGATGCTCACTTTGAGAAGAACCACATTAATTATTAAGACAACGGTGAAAACAAGCGATGTAAACAAGGTGTTCAAGCTAACATGCGGCTGCATTACAAAAACAGGCGAAATGGTATAACATTGTTCCTAGCCATGCGAAGCATGTCATGATATTTTTTTTATCCGCAGAGCTGGGTAAATAGTAATCTATTCCTAATTATTAATTTAATCAGTGATTCTAGCGAAAAAACTTCACTACAAAAGTTGTAGCGCTTGTCCTGAACCTAATAATCTATGATAATGCCAATTCAACGGGAATCGTTGAAACAGATCGCTGAGCCCTTATAATTGCGAATTCAACGAGACATATTCTATAGTAAAGTGTCAATGTTTGTCTAGTAGCGTACGATTATTTCATCTATACCCTGTTAAATTTTGATTCCTAGGGCTTTTCTTCAAGAAAGCGAAAGTCGGAAAGTATGCTTGGGGCACGTTAGCTAAAATGGCCTGTACACATAAACAGGCCACAAACGCTTGTTTGTACTGTCTTTGTCTAAGTGGCCAATAAAATGAGAAACTTCAGCATTCGAGGCACCTTGTCATCAAAACAAGATGACGTGTTTCGTTACCCAAAAAGTCAATTTCTCATGGACAGGATGCCACAGTGCCAATTTTAAAATTTTTCCTTTATGCTCGCAGTAAGTGTTTCTAGTATGGTGCACATTATTTCGGAGCCATGATGTAACTCTTTGTTTAATAAATAAAAATGCACACCCGCGCTGGTGACTGTGAGCCGCCATACGTGTGAGCTGCCTTTTCTGAAGGATGTTTCATATGAAAGCAAAAAATACAGGTGTGTTATCTAACCACCATTCGCGGCCTCTTTGATTTTGTAAAAAAACAATTGTCTTCTTGAAAGATTCATTCATGCAGCTTACATTTATGTCGGACATCTTACTACGCTTTAATAGACACTTAAATGGGCCGTGCAAGTACTTTTTCAAGTAACCATGGATGGAATCACTAACAGAGCGTATTGCCTCATGAACTCACTGCCGCAATAATATTTAGAATCCATCCAATACGAACGGTGATACGAAGATTTGTCGCACGCTGCAATCGCATTATCTTTTCTCTCGTCCCGACGAAAGCGCTGGAAGCTAAGCAGGGACTGATGGCACAGGCTGAGAAAACTATCACGTGAGCCTTGTGACCTTGAGAAGTTTTCCTTTTTCATTTCTTTGACTACGCGGCTTTTTAATGTGATCGCACGCGCATGCGTGGACAAGTCGAGGCCTCCCACGGCGATTCCTGTAATGACAGAGCGCGCCATGTTGAAATCAGCCTATGGCAGATAGAATAGCTGTGACGAGGGATTTTTTGTGCTTCATCCGTCATTTGTCGTCAGAAGAGAAAGTAATTTTTAGCTGACCTCGAAAGTTTATTGTGTTTTCTAGACCACGTGCTGCGCTATAACATTGAGAATCTACGTTTGTGGCTTTTTCGGGTGAAGAAATAACGAGAGAAAAGTCAAGGGGAGCGAGACATTTGCTACCGATCGGCAGCATTTTTTTGACCATGATAAAAAGTGTTTCAGCGCCCCTCTAAAGCAAACTCGTGCTTGAAATATGTAGGTTGCTCATGGTCATACGTCTTTCATTACTGTCTATGGGCAGAATTCGTTTAGCTATAAGCTAAGCTTAATCAATGATCATGATTTTTGTTCCTTTTTTTCGTCATCCATTCTTCGTATTCTTTTTCACCACACCCAACATATACAAACCCGCTCAGCTCCCGCTTCTATAGTATAGTAAAATTTTGGTAGTTTCGTATAAATATTCACCACTGTCTTGCGAAAGTTACGAAAAAAAAAAACTTGCATAACCTGCCCCGTACGGTTGTAACATTTGTATCACATTGTCTGCGCGCACTTGGTCTAACCACCAATTAGAGATTTCGATAGATCAATCGCTGCAACGGCTCACATCTTCTGGATTGCCACCGAAGTATTCGATGTTTTCTTTGACCCAGTCGAGCGCCACCTTCTGATCGTATAGACCAACGTTCCCGGTTACGTCCACGATGCGACCGTTGAGAAAACCGAATGGGCCGAGCCGGTAGTTGGGAACCACGACAACTGCGTCAGCGTGCAGAGCAAGCAGCTCACCCCTGTACAAGTTGTGCGAGTTGCCACCGTACTGGAAGTCCCGGCCCACAAACACGACCAGAACAGTCCTGGACGAAGTAAAGCTTACATGCAGTGGTGCAACTAGAAAACTAGAAAGCGCGACTTCTTTTCAACACTAGTGGTTTTTATATAAAAAGTTCCAACATGAAAGGAAGTTCCTTCAGAAATTTTACGGAGCGCGAATGATTAGTTACAGCAAATAAGAAAGCGTATACAAACTTTATACTGATACAACATTTTTATTGAATAAAAGTAAAAAAAATGGACCAAACACACGTCCATAATCCTCGAAAACAAGTAAGTCTAAACGATCACGAACCTAAAACCTAAAAAGATCACGAACCTTCAATAATGTCTGCTAGTCCACCCTTGGCAAGGCAGAGGGCATTAATTACTCTTCAAAATGACCTTAGGGCATGTTCAATACTTCTAACTTTTGCAGCCTTTTCTAAGCGTGTGTAAAACAGTGCGTTAATGATCCAATGGCCACGTCTACCAGAACGTGGATCAGCACCGGGTCATGGAGTGCACCTGTGGTGTAATTAGCGAAAGCGAACAAACGCGCGATGGGCTGATGGGCGAACATCACACAGTAGGCTGTTTTTATCAGTGCAAGCTGTGTATGCTCGCTATCCGCATTCGTTTGTAACCGCTTGTAGCAATCTTCGTAGAGGCAGAACACCGTGCACCATCATTTGCTTGCGTTGCAAAAGCAGTAAACCTCACGGAGTACGAGAACATACTCTTACAGGCTATAAAAGTGGCTCAAACGTGCATAGCATCTGTTCTATTGAGGAATAAAAGCAAGAAGACCACACCATGAATCAGTCTGGTGGATTACTCATCAAAACATAGAAGGAGCATTTCGACTTTCTCGTGACGATCAACTGTGGAGCTGCGATCCTGTAATAGGCAAGCATGACTTCTAGTCGCTTCATTATGGTCTCCACAGCAAGACCTATCGCATAAGCAAGTGATCATAATATGTCCGTCTAGTTGCAGCACACAAAAAAAAAACGGACAGTGAGAAAATGGGATACAAACTGAGCTTTATGTACGTGAGCCATTTCACTGTCGTTGTGTTTCGTGCTTCACGTGCCCGAATATGTACCTAATTATGTTTCTGAAGATACATTAGTATGAATATGCTCAAGATAAAAAACTGTGCCTCGGTGCTCTTTTTGCCAGATCTGTTCCTTAACTCGTTGAACACACCCCGCCGCGGTGGTCTAGTGGCTAAGGTACTCGGCTGCTGACCCGCAGGTCGCGGGATCAAATCCCGGCTGCGGTGGCTGCATTTCCGATGGAGGCGGAAATGTTGTGGACCCGTGTGCTCAGATTTGGGTGCACGTTAAAGAACCCCAGGTGGTCGAAATTTCCGGAGCCCTCCACTACGGCGTTTCTCATAATCATATGGTGGTTTTAGGACGTTAAACCCCACATATCATCAACTCATTGAACACGTATTATCATGTCATTGTATGACTGAATATGTTACCATGAAACTAGACAGGGTACTGGTAGAGTGTCGTTTTCTATGTCTTAAGCGATCAAAAGTGTATCTGTCTTTCCACACGTACGATGAATCTCAGAAGCCATTTCCAGCCGACGTTGCTTTTGTTTTCAATAGTGTGACAATAAACAGAAACGCATCCAGGAAAGTGCAATTGCTTGAGCAATTGCTATAGAACGTCCCTGTCTAAGCAACATCAATGATCTATAAAGCTTACAGAAGTGTCTTTTCTGAACAAGGGCAGAAGATTTCTCAGGAAACCTACCTCATGCATTCCAAGAAGGTGGTGGCAGAATCGTCGGTTCGGCAATCACGCAGAGCTGAACCACTCACGCGAGCCAATGGAGAACAGATTGGTTTGCTAAGGTTAGCTGTGTGACGTCGTGCTCACTCTTGTATTTTTTGCCCTCCCTAAACGTTATGGGCTCATGCACATGTCATCGCCGCTTTTTTTTTGCCCCATGTCGATTGAAATTTTCAATGAAATCTATTAACATTGCTTCTATACAAGGCTTTGCTTGCAGAATTGATCGCTTCGTCTCTATAACTGCACCAAAGTCCCTAAAGAACGCATGCCAGACCCTCCAACGCACATGCTCATCTACGCAACCGCATTCTAAGAATACTAAATAGAAAAAAACGTCTGTAGAAGAAATAGCACCCATTATATCCACTCCCATAGCTTTAAGGAAAGAAACTCAATGCTCATCTTTTTTATAAATGACGGACACATTTTATGCACCATACTTACTTCCCCAGAATTCTTTCCAGGAGCAGCAAGGAAAAAGAAAGAAACACAGAAGTTGATCTATGCGTAAATGATCCCTAAGTTTATAAAATCTGACTTCATTACGCTTCAGTTCAGTGTAAGCTGCTACACACGACATTACAAAGGATACGTTCGAAGATACGTTCTTCTCCGCCAACAATGTTAAAACGATACTGTCTTTTTCGTACCGTCGCCACTAAATTGCTTCGACATGTGTTTGATCCCATGATTACGCTGATTTAATTAGAATCCAAGACATATGAGATTGCGCAGCGAGACAATATTTATTTAATGTTAGATTACGAATGCTCGCTAGGATCTGTACAGCGGCTGCTCATATCGCGGGCTTTCACATTTAAAGCGAATAGCTTTCTTTCACTTTTTCGCCCGTTGTCTTGACGGCAGTGATCGGGCTTCTACCGAGTGGGCACGCTCTTTACGGACCTAGTTGCGGGGTGCCTTTTTAGTTAACAGTAAGAGTAAACACAGAAACTTCTAATAAAAATTAGATTAGAGCATGACTTTCGTATATGCTGAAATAGCAAATTTAAAGATAAAAGAAATGTTTTGTAAACTTCATTCTACTTGCAGTGATATCTGGAGTTTAATGAAAACTAACGGACAATATATGTCAAAGAACAGTTTAGGAAGATAGGCAATCAGCGATGATGTAAGCATGTAGAAATCAGTAGGTAGAGGAAACTGCGACCGAGGATACAAACATTCATGCAGTGCGAAAAGCTTTATGATTGCAGTCGCATTAAGTAGGCGCCTTCTACCACGTACGTCGCAAAACGTTCAGACAGAAAGTCTGCGAATGACCTTAAAATGGCGTAATGCACTGATTAACAGAACCATTAAAATTTCTCCCACTGACAGTACTGTTACGGCACGTTCATGCAAGCTAACTCAAATGCCGATGAAAGTGCAAGTCATCGGACAAGAAATTCTGAAAAAGTGTGGTTCGTTGGACTCGTCAGTCGTACATTTGTGAATTTACAAAATTGCGCTAAGAAGATGAAGCGCACGTGAGAGAACACACAGGACGAGAAGGCTAGCCTATGTATCCTTTATGCTTTCGGCTTGGGCTTCGTCTTTTAGGACAATTTTTTTCATTCACACAAGAAATGTTGCTGCATCCACCATCTAAAAAAAATGGACCGATTTTTTTGCAACTGTGGCGAGAGAACTTCCCTTATCGATGCATCGGCTTCAGTTACATTACTGGTTTGACAACATCTCATCCCTTGAAGCCTTCATGCCTCACTGAGCAGCTCTGCGTCTCGTTTAGAGTGTTGAAGGAAGACATTTGTTCTGGGCAGTTCGGCCAACAGCACTGATTGTTACCTTGGACTGCAATCCCTCTTGCATCGCTGTCCAGGCAGCATCGGTGTCCAGATGTTTAGGTGGAGGCAGCGCTCGCTCACTGGGCGGTCACTGTCTTCCATGGCGTAGTCCTTGTCCTGTACGCAGCACGGCTTCATCGAAAGAGCCTTCACAAGGGTCATTTGTCTGTCCATTAGCAGGGACTGCTGGAAGCGCATGCTACGGACGGGATCGCGTGCAAAGTAGATGCCAAGAAACTCGTGGACCTGTTTCGCGCCCACCACAAGTGTGCGGCCAGCGTAGCGGCCGCGCAGTGCGCGTACCTCCACCTCGTGGTCCACTTCCCAGACGAAATAGAGCAGCAAGCAAATCCCGGCCACCATGAGTAGTATTCCAGAAAGAAAGCATACAGCTTGCCTGGAAGCCGCGCGAAGCAAGAGATAAGGAAGTGCTGCAGCAGCAGTTGAATTTAATAAAGCCATAGCGCTGAAAACACCGGAACCAACGAGCGGACAGAACCCCATCCTTATAAAGACTATAGTCTTTCTTGGGGACCTTCAACACCGAAATTACGGCCTGCCTGCCTGCCTGCCTGCCTGCCTGCCTGCCCGCCTGCCCGCCTGCCCGCCTGCCTGCCTGCCCGCCTGCCCGCCTGCCTGCCTGCCTGCCTGCCTGCCTGCCTGCCTGCCTGCCTGCCTGCCTGCCTGCCTGCCTGCCTGTCTGTCTGTCTGTCTGTCTGTCTGTCTGTCTGTCTGTCTGTCTGTCTGTCCGTCCGTCCGTCCGTCCGTGCTAACGATATCCTAAACGGCACCCAACGACACGTCAAACAGCGAAGCCCATTCGCAGCGCCGACCAATATTGCTCAAGTTTCAGCTTTCATACTGCTACGATTGTCAATTCAAAAGCAATTATTGCGCATATCTGAGCTGCCGTAACAGCATGTCAATATTTTCTGTGTGTGGCGTTATCTTAGAGAAGGCACACATAAGTAATTCTAAGGACCATAGCGTTTGAGCGCGATGCTCAAAAGAATTGGCAGATCCCACGTACATGCGAATCGATCATATGCGAAGCCCGAATGAGAAATGTTGATATGTCAGTTTAAAATCAGCCCAATGTTATGAGGAAGAGTTAAATGATGCCGTACATGACTTCCGTGTCATGATTATCATGTTTGCATGTGTCTTTTACCTTCGTCATCTATTCACGTCACATGATACTAAATTGAGTGTATATGCAGCTAGCGAAACGGCCGTGAGCCCGCTATGTGCGTGGTATGTTGTCATGATCTTACATGACACGAGTGTCAAGATTATCATGTTTGCACCAGTCATATATTTCGCCATCAATTGACGTCACGTAACACCAAATTTGGCATATGTGGAGCTAGAAAAACGGCCACGAGCGCGTCATGAATGGCCCAATATACTGCATTGTAGCGTTGACGCGCGCGCACGCTGTGCACAGCGACGCTACGTTAGTGAAACATGAGCACTCTATTGTCTGACGCCAGGCGTGACCGACGCGACCAGAATGCGTCGGCGCGGCCTTACGACAACCAGCGCGAAATGCGACATGCTGCATTTCACGCCGATGCGTTACCCAGACAACACTGCGTCTCCCTCTTTTCGTGACGGAGGGACGCCGGAAGCGCTGAAACTCCCATGCATCAAAGCAACGCAACGTGGCGCGTGCCTGCGAGTATATGGCAGGACCGGTGCCTGGCGTGGCAACGCCGGCGGGACGCGACGAAGTGAACGCCGGCGAGCACACACACCGCGTCACGTCGAAATGTATTGGCGCCTTGACTGTGGCTTGTAGTCATGTTCTCACATGACACGCATCTCATAATTATCATGTTTGCACCAGCAAGGCACCTTCGTCATCCATTGGCGTCACGTTATACCAAATTTATAATATGTGAAGCTAGCGAAACGGCTGCGAGCGCGTCATCAGTGTGGCATGTATTCATTTTGTTACATGACACGCATGTCGTGATTACCATGTTTAGATGTGTCATTTACCTATGTGGTCCGTACACGTTGCGTAATACCGAGTTTGGTACATGTGAAGCTAGCGAAGTGGCCGTGAGCGCATCTAGAGCATAGCATACGGTCATGTTGTTACATGACGCGCATCTCATGTTTATCAAGTTTGCACCAGTGTACATTCGTTATCCATTCACGTCCCGTAATACCGACTTTGGTATAAGTAAAGCTATCAAAACGGCTGCGAGCACACCATGAGCATGACATGTAGTCCTATTCTTACATGACACGCACGTCATGAGTTTTATGTTAGGGTGAGTCGCTTGTGTTCGCCATGCAGTCATGTCATACCATACCAGTTTTGCGAAATTCCATGTGAGCAAAACCACCGCAATAGCTCGAGAACCATGAAATATGAATCATGACATTCATGACACATCGTCACGATGTTCTTGTTATGACTAGTCAAGTATAATCGTCATGTAGTCATGTTACGGCATACCAAGTTTGGTATCCATACCATTATCGAAACGGCCAGGTGAGCTAAATGTTGTTGGCGGATAGATAGATAGATAGATAGATAGATAGATAGATAGATAGATAGATAGATAGATAGATAGATAGATAGATAGATATCTATAGATAGATAGATATGCTCAAAGTCGCCGAAGTTCGCTAAGTTATGCTTCGCGTTTAAAAGGCAAGTGTTTCCAACGCATTGCTAAGAAAATACGGTGGTGGCACCTGCCCTTCACTTTGCGCTTCTATTATTGCTTCCAAGACAGGCGCGCATCTTTCTCCGTGTGCGCACACGCCTTCCTTCGTTTTCGAAGATAACTGCCAGATGGCAGCTCATGTCTAACGCTCGTTCGCCTTCGCTGCACGGATCGAGACGCAGCGCTTCCTGAATACAATTCAACAATTTTCTGGCGCCGAACATTAAATAAACGTTTTGTTTACCCTCTCCACACGCAAGAATATCGTCTTTCGAGAATACTTGCCGTGAAACATGCAGATACGAGGTCAATTTTTTTATTCCTGAATTTTCAGCACAATGCTTCATTAAACCTATAGAAATAACTAGCCCCATGGTCTGTTTTCTCAGAGTTGCATTAGCACGCAAAACGAACGACTTGTGCCTGTCGGTACATGATGCGCCTTCTGCACATTTAGTATTGTGCTGCACACAATTATTATGCAACATAAGTCGTACCTTTTACAAGTTAAGTCATTTACTGCTGCGTTTCTAGACCTAGAGCATTAGTGAAAGCACATTTACGCTGTGGACGGTAGGACGTCACTCTGCGTGCTAGTGTCTTCTGTGCTGTGGAATCTTCTGAACAAGCCTCGCAGCTTCTTCGATGCGACTTCGCTAGTCTCAGCCCAGTTAGCCTTCTGCAATGCCTCGATGGACGTGCAGCTGTCTCCGTGGAGGAAACCTGCGAGTAGCAAACGAAGCCTAGGAAGAATCGACATTCCGCCTTTCCTGGTATAAAGAAGACTGCATAACAAAACTCGCAAAGTGGAGAGTGCCACTGAAAAATGAAGTTCATAAAGCAACACGTTGGTTAGAGACTAAAATAACAAATCTTTCACTTCATAAGTTGGCGTTTGCATGGCCAGCCTGACTGGTCAATATGTCCAGCATCAAGATTAGGCAAACATTTATACGTTTATAGTTGCAGGTGTAAGCACAGGTGGGTGCACTTTAATTCTTTTATTATCTTCTCAACAGTAGCGCGCCTTTCCGACAAATCATTCAGAGCAACTTCCGCGTATTGTCAGCGTCAAATGAAACCCAAACAGTGGCAGACCTCCAGCATAGTAGAGTGCGTGCCGTTCGCTTATCTCCATGAACAGGCATGCATATATGCGCAGAGCTGCTGAACAAAATGCTCGTTCGTGTCAATGGTATACCAACTGGACGGTCTGAAATGCACTATCGTGAAGGCTTGCCGATGTTCGGGTGTCATTTGACATGTACAGTACATACATCGGCGCTCATACTCCAAAACGACAGTAGGTTCTGTGGTATCTTTACCAACACGGAAAGAAATATACTTCTTGATGCGGGAGGGTGAGCCATTTATTAAATACGGCTAAAAAAAACAAATTGTATACTTGAACTACAAATTTGGGAAATTCCCACAATCTTACTTGTCGCGCTTTCAAAGCGCTACTAAAATGCTTTCCAAAAACCATTTATATGAACCAAGCTCTAACCGCATTGTTGGGTCTGCAGTGGATGATGTGTATTCACCTTTACTGTCTTCTGACTCAGCCTTCTTGACCGCTGATCTTCCAAGAAAAAGGTCAAACCAAGTGGGCCTTTTTTTGCATGTACACAACGGAAATCCAGAACCGGCGTAGTAGACATCGACTGGTGGAGGGTTGTGCACAGCTGCGATACACCATAGAGGCGGCATTTTTGATAACGGTATGCTATCAAAACCAATACTTTTAAAAAGCATGCATGAAAAACACGCGGCAAACAATTTCGAATATGGCAGGGGGTAGTAAACCAGATATAAAGTTAGTAGGTCATTCGCAATAAGTACCGGGTGTTCTAAACACAGTGTACGTTTACCTATGAGGCAGTACTGGTAGATTTCTGAAAATAATTCCGTCTGAGCACCCTGTTTCAGACTCTCCTTAGCCAGTTGCAAGTCAGCATCACTTCTGGTATAGACTTATTACTTAGGCGTTTTCACTTATTACTCATTTACTTATTACTTATTACTGTTACCGAGAATCATGCTACGCCTTTACGGCATACGCTTCCATGCTAAACTCTAAATGTCGTGATTACCTTTTGAACACAAGCAGGCACGTACAAGACTGACGCATGTTTATAATAAACCATCGAAGAAGCTATTTAAAGAAACGGCGTCAAAATAAATATGCGTCAAATTTATTTTGACCCTCGTGTCAAAATAAATATGCAAGAACACACTTAAAAGACTAGAGTTATAATGGCTGCGTTACAATGTCAATTAGTGAAAATAAGACTATAGTTTTTTTTCACAATGGGCAAATTAAATAGGTTAAACAAGAAAACTTCAACGAATTCAATATTTTATAAGCCTTCTTGACCATATGAGTGATACAGTTACGTACGACAAACGTCCAGTTTCCGTTCTTTTGTCTGTTGCTTCATTCCTGCGTCATCTGTCACTGCACTGACACTGGTAGCCGCACCTTCCTGCATAAACATCGTCAAGTACCACTGTGAGCATTTCCATGCTTTCAGCCATGATGCTGGCTTAATTCTAGTTGTGCTGTATAATAAAACACATTATGACAGTGAGTACAGGTAGGATGCATTATTTATGCAGGCAAGAAACTAACTATACCGAGAGGCCAGAGGGCTCTCACTCATAGTGCTCTCGGCATTCGACGCTAGGATATAAAACTGAGCATGCTTATTCAGTGAAAGGCGCTTACATGACGACAGCCATAAGCGATGTCACAAGAAAGTCACTATAAGTGAGACACGCACAAACCACATTGCGAAGAAAAATTAATCCAAGAAAAGAAAAAAAAATACGGGTATTACATGAAACGCTGTGGCAGTTCGTGGTAACTGAGGCCAAGAATGATGGAAGCACGTGACTGTTGCACGAAATTGTCATCAGTTACATTATCAAGAAAACAGCTGTTTTAGTCTAAAGCAACTGGGGTATCGAAGACCTGTGTCTGTGTGCTATATATGTATGCTTCACCGCGGCAGTCTTTAGTGTTATGGCGCTCGGCTGCTAACCCGAAGGTGACGGGAGTGAATTCCAGCTGCGGTGGCTGTATTTTCGATTGAGGCTAAACTGCTGTAGGCCTGTGTGCTCAGATTTTGGTACATTAATGAACTCTATAGGTGGTCGAAATTTATGGAACCCTCCACTACGGCGTCTCTCATAATCATGTGGTGGTTTCGGATTGGTAAACGCCGCATTGTTATGTGCACTCTGAATAGCGTCGTGTTCTCATCAGTCAAGTGCCATTAGAAGTTATCGGTGCGTGCGTACAGGTGTGTGTAAGCCTACACACACACGTGCGTGTGTTCCGTATCGCAGTGCCAGCGGGCCCTGCGGTAAGCCCTCGAACCGGTAACTGGCCTCCGGACGCAATCATTATGCTCAGAGAACGGTCTCTCTTTGAGCTGTACCACAACAGCAAGAGTATCAAAAGTTTGCCACCACTGGTGCACTCGGGTAGCTCTTGTACAGTATGAGCGGCCACGCGCTTTCAGTGTCGTGTTTCAAGCCGTGAGTACTGCTGACATTTATGCTTATATCTACGACGGCACAATGAACAATAATATTCGAGTTATCGAGTTTCTAGACCTCAATATGTTTATGAGGCACACTGTAGCGGATGGCTCCGGCAATTTCGACCATCTGATGTTACTTAACGTATGCCGACATCGCACAGCACATGAGCCTGCAGCACTTCGACTCTATCAAAATGCGCCCAATGTGGCCGGAATAAGACCAGCCACCTCCGCGGGTCAGCAGACCGCCACTACCACTTTTCCACCGAGTCGGACGACTGAATAACGAAGACGAGCTCGTCTGTTTATACCTACAGTTTCACTTTCATACTATAGTAATAAACCAATTAAGTTTCAAGAAATTCGGCTCACCCTAGTTCCTCCAATTGGGTGACTTCTCTTCCTGTCTCGCTGGCTCATAGAACTGGTAGCTGTTGTGTGGCCCGATTGTAGAGCGTCCGTCACTGTGAGGTGTTTCTCTGAGGATGCGCGCTTCAGGCAGCTGCGTGGAAGTTGCTTATGCAGCTGCCGAGGTTGCACCTCTCGTGGCTCTTGCTGCAGTTGCGAAGAATGCTGTTGAGCGTGCTTTGGTGGTGGCTGCTGCTCTTGTTTCTGTTGTCGCTGTTCTTGGTGTTGTTCTTCAGGCTCAGCTGAGCCTGTTGTTGAGGCCCGTGTTGCGACTGTTGCGGCGCTTGACGATGACGCTCTTCTAGTTGCTCAGGTTGATCAAGTCGGTGCTGAGGATTGTGATGCTGATGATGTTTTGGGTGCCCCTTATGCTGGTGGTCCTTCGGATGTGGCTGCTTTTGTTGCGATCTTTCGGTTAGTTCTGCCTGGTGTGTTATAGAGGTTGACTTTCCCGTAGAATCTTTGCCATTGGAAGCCATATCGTGTGCTCTATGTCTAGAGAAAAGACAATTGAAACAGAAAGTAACACTGCAGTCCTGGTGCATTTGCGCATACGTTTTACACATTTTCTGCTTGCGACACCAGCACTGTTCAACCCTAACCTATTGGGAAGCAAAATGGCTGCTCCTTACTGCTGAGGTGTCTTTTACATCGCGCTATGCCTAAAGCGCTGGAGCGCCAGGCATTATTGTTAGAGCCTCTACCTGCACTCCCACGCAGTGAAAGCAGAGGAAGTTTCCGATTGAATACTGGCATGCTACATCAGCAGAAAAACCTACGGATTGCGGATTACAAGCAGACAAGAGTTTATGAAGCCATAGTGATCACCGGCAGTAAATTGACTGAGTTGTCATAATCCTAGGTAGGCGTCCTTTTGTGAACGTCAGCAGTGCAATCATAAGCACAGTGTACTCGCAGTGAACGAATCTCACGCAAATAAAAATGTCTAGAAATGGTCGCTACACTCACTTAAGTTCGAAACGCAGATGTATGAAATACTCATGGTATGTGAAACCGGAACTGCAATTGCCACATGCTTTGACGGTTACACGAAACGTTAAGCAAATGTAAAAAGTTAATTTAAAGACAATTTTAAATGCCTGTTTTAAACAATCCAATAAGTGAAATCATGCATTTGGTCTGTTTTGACATCATCAGCTACTCTGTTGTGTTTATGCTCTCTAGATGTCAGCTTAGTGCCTCAATCCGCGAGAATCAATCACAAGAACCAGCCGTACCAGATGGAACTTGCAGTCCGCATTACCCCCCCCCCCTCCCCAACCCAGCTTTGTTCATGTGGTTGAAACACAGTAATTGCACTTGCACAAAGCGGACGATTGCTGACCGCATTTTTTTTTCCTTCTTCCAACCTTACACTTTCAGTGATGATGCTACTAAAGAATGGTCGCAGATGTAAGTGCCGCATGCAATGATACCGCAAGAAAAATAGTAGATATACTGACATGGTGCTAGTGTGCGATGATGCATACATTATCTAAAGAGATAACCATGCGCATTTACAATTCTGCAGCGCTATTTTGAATACAAATACTGTGCAACAGTTTTGAGAAATATTTTCTACTCAAACAGATATGTTGCACGATAGAAGCCACAATATTCGAAGTCAAGCCACTATTTCTTTTGCAACAAAAGAACTAAGCAATTTATTTTCCTATTACCATAATTACTCATGTCCTTATTTTATTTGGTGCAACGAAGTTTTGCGTAAAAGGGAGTTTTTTTTCTTTTTGAAGTTGCATTTACCTCGCGGTCTACAGTACTTAGGTTGCATGTTTTGTGAGAAGCTCTGAAAAGGCCTTTATACTTGTAATGGAATCAGCAATAATCGATATTCGCTCTCATTACTTACGTGCTGTGTAATGCCTGGTGCACTTCAATACTATATTTTCTTTCATACTTGCATAGACTTGAAAGTAGTGACCACACTGACAGTGCAGGTGGCATTTTCTCTTTTAATACTTCTTCATTAAGAAAAAAATATTTGGAACGAGGATTCTATATTGATAAGCTAAAGCCACTCCCCTCCTCCTGCTTTCAAAAGGGTAAACAGGAACTTTGTTCACCGTTGGAGAAAGCATTACTTGATAAAAATAACTTTTCGGCTAACTCGGGTATCCACCAATCGAATGAAAATTGAACCTCATAAAGGTACGTGGAGTAATACCAGACAGTGCGCTAAGAATTAGTGAGTAGAAAACAAGATGGCCTTACAGATTCACCTGAAAGTAGACCAGAGACTCGACGCTTGGATAATAACACAGGACGCAATAAGCTCCGCGAGCCCAATAGTCGTAGTCGATGTCGACAGAAGCGACGCCTTGACACGGTGCCTTTCCTCGTTTGATCTCAGGAATAAAGGCTAAAGAATGATGATGGTTGTGGCTTCATATTCTGTGGCAAACACCCACTCGATATGATCAGCCTTGAATGCGACACCATGGGGAATGCGGTGCCAAACAAACTTGCACAATGATTGAGTCCGGAATATACTGGACTGGAAACGTTACTGAAGTCCTGGAGTGCTCATGTCAGTGCGCAGTGCTTCGCTTCCACGTCGGAAATCGAAAGGCCTACCTTCTATGCAGTTTCGCGGACCATTTGTCCAGCCCATATTTTGTCATGCAGGCATGAAACATTATGCTTCAAAGGCAAGCATATGTCGCAATGGAAAAAAAATAGTGAGCTGCGGTAGACTCTATAGCCTGGCCAGGTGGTATCCTGAGAAAAATACCTGGACATAAAGGTGGAAGCACTCGAAGTTCTGAATAGCCGGAATAGCACCTGGTGGACGAAAAACGTGAAAGAATGAAACATGTGCATTTCAAGAAACACATTGAGGTATAGCAAGAATAAAGAACGTGACACGACTGCAATACAAGTAAGTTTGTTTCATATTGCCACGTTCCATTTCCAAGTTTTTGTTATCGTCCGAAAACACCGCACGATTCTCAGCGCAAACCGCGCCTGCAGTTTTCTAGAAGGTTCCGGACTGTAGTAGATCATTTCGATAAGATCACGCCCACTGTGCGAACGGTACAGATTGTTCTGGAAGCTACGCCACCGCCAGCGATAACGCTAGAACATTCGACAGCAAGAGTATAAATGCCGACGCGCTTCGCCGCTTGTCAGTTGTTGATCGAAGGCCGACGCTCCGTTCGCCGCTATCAGTCCGAGACTGCTATCTGTGCGAGACTGCTGCTGTAATTGGACTTTCAGTTTACCGGGCACAGGTTCGCCCAAATAAACAGTTAAATCCTAACACGAAGTCTCCTGTCTTCGGCCACGTCACTACCCCGTGACATCTGGTGGAGGTGCTGCTTCGTTCATGTACCGGACGCCCCCGTCAAGCCGTGAACCCAGCCCACGTCGCGGAGAAGACACCGACACCAACCAGGAGCAGCGAACAAGCCGCCGACAGCAAGGGCTACCACCGGAGTACGGGCTTCTACCAGACAAGGCGCGGAAGACGAAGGCCATGACCGCGACTGCAGCGACAATGACAACCGCAGCGTCCAGCCCACGATGGTCATGCATCAACCCAGGGAACCACCAATTTTCCATGGGTCATCGTTCGAAGACCCGGAGTCCTGGCTGGAGACATACGACCGTGTGGCCGCCCTCAACCACTGGGACCATGACGAAAAGCTGCGTCGTGTGTTCTTCTATTTGGAAGACACCGCAAGGACTTGGCTTGAAAATCGGGAGTCCACGCTCCGAACGTGGGATGTTTTCTGCGGCGCATTCCTTCAAACGTTCGCAAGCGTCGCTCGCAAAGAGAGGGCCGCTGCTTTGTTAGAGACTCGGGTTCAGCTACCAAATGAAAATGTCGCCATTTTCACAGAAGAAATGACCCGACTATTCCGTCACGCTGATCCAGACATGCCTGAGGAGAAAAAAGTTCGTTTCCTCATGCGAGGGGTCAAACAGGAGCTCTTCGCGGGACTGATGAGAAACCCACCGATAACCGTCCAAGAATTTGTAGCAGAAGCGACCACTATCGAAAAGACCCTGGACATGCGCACCAGACAGTATAATCGTCGCCTGACTGCAGACTGCGCTGCAGCTCAAGCCAGTAACTCCGGAGACCTGCGTGAAACGATCCGAGCGATCATGCGGGAAGAGCTGCGCAAGCTGTTGCCTTCGGCCCAGCCTCAAGTGGATTCAATTGCCGACATTGTGCGAGAAGAAGTTCGGCAATCGCTTCAAATTCCCCACGCACCGCTGCCCGAGCCGGAAGCTATGAGCTACGCCGCTGCACTACGCCACAACGCTCCTCCCCGTCCACGCCAAAACGCCGCCCCATCGCACTTCCGTCGACAGACGCCACCGCCGCCACCACCCCCACCGACGTCATACCGTTCGCCAGCGGCCCAGCGCAGTGCACCGAGGAAGACTGACGTCTGGCGCACCCCTGACCATCGCCCGCTCTGCTACCACTGCGGCGAGGCCGGACACACATACCGCTGTTGCCAGTACCGACAGATGGGACTGCGTGGCTTCGCCGTCAATGCACCGCGTCCAAAGCCAGGAGAACGACCACGTGACATCGCCGACTACCTGACAGGAACTCGGTGGACACCACGAAGCCCTTCGCCTTCGCCGTCGCCCAGCCGCCGCACGTCACCGCACCACCGGCAGTATCTGGCCCAACGCGGGGCCGGTCTCCTAGCCCGTATCCGGGAAACTAAGGGCAGCAACCGGTGGAGGTGCGGTTGCTGTGCGACGAACTACCGAAGATCCTCCGACGACGACGACGCCGCGACAGAGCTTTCCGAACACAACGCCAGCCAGGCAAAGCCCTGACCGCGAAAGCTCATTTACCGAAGGTGGCCTGACGACGCAGCATGGAAGCAGCGGAACAAGCCGACGCAGCCGTGACCCGACGCCACGCCCTAACTGTAATGCGAGACGGCGAACTAGTGACCTCGACGTTCTTATCGACGGCCACAGTGTGACTGCTCTCGTCGATAGTGGAGCCGACTATTCTGTCATCAGTGGGTCGTTCGCCGCGAAGTTAAAGAAAGTTAGGACATCTTGGAAAGGCCCTGAAATCCGCACAGCCGGAGGTCATCTCGTAACGCCTGCAGGAATCTGCACAGCGAGAGTCACCATTAACGGCCGTATTTATCCTACAGACTTCGTAGTCCTACAGCGTTGCTCGAGAGATGTCATCCTTGGCATGGACTTCTTATGCCTCCATGGTGCTGTCATCAACCTAAAAACAAAGTCGATAACGTTATCCACAGAAGAAGCACTACCGCCGCGCACGCCGTCAGGACACCATGCCTTGAATGTGCTGGAAGAACAAGTCACCATTCCGCCTCGCTCAAGCGTCATTATTTCAGTCGGCGCTCCTAAATCACCTGACTTGGAAGGCGTCGTTGAAGGCAGTCAGCATCTGTTGGTCACCCGAAATATTTGCGTCGCAAGAGGAATTGCAGAGCTGCGGGGA